GAACATATGCCCGATAATGGATGAATTTGGCCCAACAATTGTTTATTGGGATGGAAAAACAAACAGATGAAATTCATACGAAGAAAAAACATCTATATTTAGTTTTCAATGCAAACACTTTGCACAGATTGAAATTGTGTAAATAATGGAGTGCAACCGAAAATCAGTAAATGTGGTCAATTTAAATAAATATTTTATCAAAATACAGCAAATATTGAATGTAGTCCAAATTGAGCAATATTTCATACTCGTTTCATTTTTTTGCATGTACTTTGTCGCCTTAGCCCATTTCACGCCAATATTTACCCAACAAATTTCTAGATCAACATTCTAAACGCATTGGACATATTCAATCAGAATTTCTTTTCAATTCAGTATAAATACTAGATGATTATCAACGATAATGCATCATTTCGATTTGATCGCTCTATCAAATCACTTGGATTACAATTAACAATCAGCTGCAATTTTATTTCATTTCAACCGAACATGAATTTTCACTGGCTTTTCGCCATCGTGCTTTTTGCACTGATTGTAAGTAACGAAGAAATCATTTCATCAGAATATTTGAATTTAACTTTTAAATGTTAAAGGGAACGGCATTCTCAATTCCTGAACCAGAAGCCGAGCCGGAAGCATTTGCCGAAGCAGAGCCCGAAGCATTTGCAGAACCTGACGCTCTCGCTGATCCCCAACCAGAGGCGTTTGCTGAGCCTGAAGCATTAGCCCTGGCCGACCCAATTGCAGAACCAGAACCAATTGCCAATCCAGAACGTAAGAAATTTGATATTTTATAAACACATTTTCAAATTTTAAAAATTGACAATGACTGTTTTGTTCTGGAACAGCAAGCCCCGTTGCAAAAAAATGTAAAAACTCATCGTCGTCGTCATCATCATCGGGAAAAAGTTGTGACCCCTCCGGCTATGAAGTTATAAAGGGTGGCAGTGGTCCCAGCAGTAGCAGCAGCAGTAGCAGCGGCAGTAGCGTAAGTAGCACTGGAAGAAGAAGACGCATCAAGTTCCAAGTGTTCCCCAATCAAAAAGTGAGTGTTGTCGTTGTAATTTCATTTGGCGAAAAGTGTAATACGACTCAATACCAGATTGAATTTGTTGTTAGCATACCAAAAATATTGGCTACAATCACAAAGACTGGTTATTTATTTTGTCGTTGAGCCGCTTTCGTTGAATTTCAATTCTACGTTTCTAGTGAAAATTTCACAATTATTATTCCTTGAATCGATTGGTTTTTAAATAAAATGCATTTCAAATTTCATTTCAACAGTCGAATGGACCCCGTAAATATATGGCCAGATATCCAAAATGCAAGAATTGCAATAAATCCAATAACAAAAAGAAGTCGAGAAAATCGAAAAAATCGAAAAAATCGAAAAAATCGAAGAAATCGAAGAAATCGAAGAAATCGAAGAAATCGAAAAAATGCAAGAACTGCAAGAAAAGACGCCCAAGCTGCGGATGCGATTTCTGTCCATGCTTGTTCCCCGTCACGGAATCATCAGGTATGCTCTTTTTGCCAATTTATTTACGAATACTGGATAAATTTTTTCCGATTTTAGGTACCGCTACAACCTCAGGCTCTTCTTCAAGCACCTCTACAGTGTCGTCTCCAACCACAGCTGGATCTGGTAAACATTCAATTTTTTAAATTACAATCATTTCATGAAATGAAGTGAAAAAAAAACTTTCTAAAACAATTTAAATTTTTCACATAGAAACATCGACAGCCGCTGAAACTTCAACAGCTGGCACTGGTTCAACTGCTGGCACTGGTTCAACTGCTGGCACTGG